CGATGGTTCCTGGAGTTGACAGCAAGCATACAGTGCGAATGAAATCTGTTTACCCGGCCATCAGGCTTACGAGCATTTGTCAGACTTGCATCGTCTGAAGTGTCTCTCTCCCATGCTGACATGGCGCCCTTCAGCATTTCACGTTTTTTGTCAGACGACGCCTACGATTTGGTTTGGAGCGAGATGGGTGATCGCTATAAGGCACAAGTTGAAATATGACGCTTATAATGCAGTGCTAAATCCCAAAGTTGAAGATCCGAGGGTGGGAATTTGCCGTTTGACATACTGTAGTAAATTTTATCTGGCATTTTTTCTTAGATCGAAACTAATTAATCAAACTTATTTCTATCCCTTCAGCGGATTCACACGCCATAAACCGACTATCTCCTTTTTTACTGTAGCCTAGGGATCTTTCCGATAAGCCGTGGTTACGTGATAATTGAGCACCTGCACTGCGTGGAGGCTCTGTCGCCTGCCGGTGGTGGGTCGACGCCAACTGAATGGGTCCAGGTAACGGCTGCTCGTGCATGAAGTAAAAAATACCACAATTCGTTTATATTTGTATGCACCGTATGCCTTCGACCAAACACTGAAAAGAGACGCTATGCAATTTTTCAGACGCTATGGAGCCGTGACCTGCTGAAAAATCCTTCGGACATCTTCTAACTAGAAGACGGTAAATTGTGCTGTGAAAATTCACTAAATGGACAGGGTATCAGGATATAACTTCTAAAACTGGATTTCAAGTCTCTCTGCGCCTCTTCCTGTTCCTCAGATTCTTTGGGAGCCACATAAGTGGGCGACGGTTCCGTGGTCAAATGGATCCATCAGCGCTTTCGGGCCTCCTCATCAATTCTCGACCCCTTTTAAAATGAGGTTTTGGAAGTAGTGCAGAAGCCCGTTTTAGTGGGTTGATGCGGCGGTTGTCGTCCATTCGTTAGGGAGACCTATCCATTGCCAAAATAGCGTAAAATGCCAGAACTATGTGAATCCATTTTGCCGAAGGAAGACAGAAGAGATTTCTGCGGTATTTCACGAGGTCGACTAGAAAGCAAATGCTCACCTAGAGGCGCTCAAGAAGAGAGCAAGTTTAAGAAGCGTCTACCTGCATGCATGGTGTTCCAACAACGAGGACGAGGAAAGATGATTGATTCCCTGCCGTGGGTTACTGAGGTCTGACCTAAACTGTTCCGCTGCAGCACTGCGTGAGGCCATGTTTCGTGATTTCGCATGCCAGCTACGTGCGTCGTCAAACGTATTCCTCTGCTGATCTGAAAGGAAGAGCATGCTGCAAATGAAAGGCAAGAGAGAGCGACGCGAGGCGGCAGCAAACAGCGCATTCAGTAGTGCGAAGAACTTGAGACCTAGAGAAAACATGACTCTCTGATCGTCCAAGAAACAGTGAGAACAAAAAATGGCAAGCATTTAAGCAAAGTCTGATGAACATCAATTGTGACTCACTTTCCGCACTTTGAGTCTCGAAGCTGCTGCTTGGCAGATAGCCGATATGGGATTAAAAATAAAAATCTGGGCTGTTGATCGCTTGTTTGTCAAAGCCATTTTTACTTGGCAATTCATCTTCTGCTTAACTTCAGAATCTCAGGAGTCTATCAACTTGGTGGCTACAAAAAATGAGGAAACGGTAGCTTAACTTGCTGCATAATGTGTAATATAGTGCCGATACAAGCTTGGCTTTATAGAGAACCTGTAAACAGTTTAAAACGGCAGACAGACGTAATGAAATGCGCTGTTTGTACAACTTCGAACATCTGCCGTCGGCCCCCGGTAGATACATCTAGATATTCAGCACCTAAGAGAGAGATAGTTGAAAAATAACTGGTTTGTTTTTTATATATTAAGGTCTATATCAAACCGCTGCGAATGATGTGTTCAACAAAAAACATTTTCATGCACTACAGTTATGGCTAGGCTAGATTAAGCAATGTTAATGACCGGT